ATTTCAACTGCCGAATTCCTCATTCCCCATTCCTTCAAATACGTCAATTCTCGTTTTGCGTATTTCAACCTCATTACTTGTAATACGGAATCGCGCCACTGGTAATACTTCTTTTTTTACAGGGTATCCTAAAGAATAGGTTATACCCATAAAATAGTTAAAAGTTAAACATATGACAAAATGTCGGACACTTTTTTAAAACACTGCGTTTTTTTCATGTTTGACCTCTTGTAAAAAATCTTTATTGTTCACAATTGTATCATATTAAAGGTATAACCTTAGAAGAATTTAGTTACTTTTAATTAGCCGCAAACTTGAAGTTGATTGGTCAAATAGTTTAAACGCTACGATTTCCACCAGTTTGAAAAATCTTGTTTCAAGAAAAACGCGTATAAAATTTTGGTTACTTTTATGTGTAATATTTGACAATTATATTAAAGCAAAAGTGACGGTAACTATATAGGACATTTATCTTATATTATTAAATACACTGAAAAAATAGTATTGAACCAAGAAAATTTTACTTGGTTCAAGAAAATCGAGTGACTGAATACGGTCAAATCAATTATGATACTGTTTCAAGAAAAGCATTTACTTGGTGCAGTATAATTGAAAGAAGAACATATGTTCTCGATCCAAAAAAATATGGAATTCGATCAAAAAGTTAATCGACTTCTATGAGTAAAATATTTTCTTGTTCTAAGAATATCAGGAACCACAAAACATTTTCAAGTTTCAAAAATGCAAATTAAAGCTGAGATCTTAAAGATTATGTTGTAAAATTATCAAATTTTTTCATACATTATTCTAGATTATGCCAGAAGTCAAAAACATTAGTACGACAATATGAAAATTGCATAATTTTTGCTTGAAATATTTTCGGTGTTATAAATACAAAAATAATCGGACAAGTATTTGGTATAAAAACAAATGTTTAAAAAGATGGGTTGTATGTCAAATAATATAAGTGATACAAAAAGGAACAATTTTGTATGAAAATTTAAGAAAATTGTTCCTCTTCGTATCACAAATATTATTTGATATACATCACTTTTTTTTTAAACATTTGTTTTTATGCCAATAAATATGTTCGCTTTGAGTACGGAACCCTCGATTTCAGTGCGAGAATAACTCGCTCTTGTCCGATTTTTTTATTTTAGAGTTATAACGACTGAACAAATAAACTTCAGGAAAAAGTCCACTTTTTCCACTGCTTATCATGTTCATTAAATTATTTCTATAATCTAGACATAAAAATACGTAAAAATGAATAAATTTTAAGCCCTTTAGATAAAATTTTCTTCGTTATTGGAAGAAAATTCATGATTTTTTCTAAAATAATCAGTTTTTCTTGACAGCATCAGAAAAATCAACTCCAATCGTCCTCTCTATAATTTTTTTTGTAATCTACACGTAAAAATACGTCAAAATACATAAATTTAAATTACTTTAGATAAAATTTTCTTAGTTTTTGGTCGAAAAATACATTTTTTTCCCTAAAAATATCATTTTTCTTTAAAAATTTGATAAAAATTAATCGTTAACTCCAATCGTGCTCACATTTTTTCTGTGTAATTTTCACGCAAAAATACATTTATACAACAAATATAAACAGTCTGGGTTGAATATTGTGTGCGCTAAGGAGTTTAAACCATTTTTTTCGAAATTTTTTATTTTTCCTTGACAACGCTATGTAAATCGATCCGAATTAAGTTCTCTATATTTTTCCTGTAATTTTCACGTAAAAATACGTAAGCGTGCCAAATTTGAGCTCTTTATGTCAAAAGATGTGGCTGCTAGGGGGGGGGGTACATAGTCATTTTTCGTAAAAATTCACGTTTTTACCTTGACAACGCTATGATAATCAATTCCAATCAGGTTCGCTATATTTTTCCTGTAATCTACACGCGAAAATGCATATGTGTACCAAATTTCAGCCCTCCAAAACCGATATTAATAGGGTTCCAAACCGAGTACGAAACCCTAAAAAGAGAAAAAAAAATTCTTGATATACATTCAGAAGCAGAATTTTATCAGCTTTCCAACCATCTAAGATAGAAGTCTCTAACTTTTTTCTAACTTGAAATATCTTGCTTTAAAGTCAGCCCCGAATTTCCACTTCTCGAACGTTAGTCGTACCGACAATTTCCGACGGTAGTGTAAATCAAAATATTATTTACATTGTCAGAAAAACGCATGTTCTTGGTCCAAGAAAATATGGAATTCGTCTAAGAAGTTAATTGACTTCTAAGAAATGTAAAATATATTAAGTCAAGATCATATATATATATATATATATATATATATATTAAATCAAGAAAATATTTTCTTGACTTGAGAAAACTTATAGAGTTCAATCAAAAAAATATTTTTCCAATACAAGTAAATATTCACTTGAATTACCTCCCCCCCTCCTACACCCCTTCCTCATCCCACCATGTCTAATTCTTAAGTCAAACATTTTTATTTATTATTATTAACATTCATATTTTCTATTATTTATTTAAATAATGTTTATTTTACTTACATATTTATATTTAATTAATACTTAACACAACTAAAACAAGTATACCTTGAATGAAAATTTTCAAACCATATAATTTTTAATCAAGTTGAAACAAGTATCTACTTCTATTAATCTTTCCATTTTCGTGGATCAAGACTATGAGTATTAGATTAAGTAAAAAGTTGTTTTGAAAGAAACAACAAAACGATTTGACCCAAGAAAATAAAATACTGAACGTAAATCACTTGACATGAGAAAATAATATTCTTGACTCAATAGTTTTTCGTTTTTGGCACAAGTAAAACAGTTCGCTTGAAACAGTAAGATATCACAGAAAAAACTTAGTCTCATTTTGATATGCAGCAAAAATGAGTCAATGCTAAACGACATAGACAGTGGCGCCACCCCCGGCTGAAAAAACTTGTACAAGAAAATATACAAGTTCTTGTACATGTTCATTAATAAACTTGTACATTTTCTTGTACAAGTTTTTTCAGCCGGGCCAACCTGACTCATTTTTGCTGCATACGCTATCATTTTGAGTTCAGGTTTTTTCTGTGATATTTACTTGTATAAAACTCATATTTTCTTATTTCAAAAACATTGCTCAATGCTCAAAATTACTTGACTCAAAAAAATAAATTTCTTCCAATAAAAAAATATCGTCTTATTTCAAGTAAAGTACCTCAAGTAAATGCATTGACTTGATTCAATTAACTTTTTTTCAGTGTAGAAATACTAAGCACTATAACTGTTTTTTGAAAACAACAATAGAAATTGTAAAGAGTTAAGCAAAAATAATTTTAAACCGGTGCAAAATTTTAATTGAAGTGAACAAATTTTGTTTCAATTGTGAAAAACGTGTTTATAAATTAATTACCCATGACCATCATTTCCCAAGACCAAATGATATCCTTAGAACGTCCGTTGGATATCCTGAATATCCGGATGCTGTAAGGGTAGGAGAATAAAAAAAAGAATAATAAGGGCTGGAAGATTAGGATGATGGAGCGAACAGTTAATATTACCGTAAAAACAGTCTGACCGACAAAAATAATATGCCAGGTGTAAATTAATTGAGGCAACATTTTTACTACAGTAAAACCTCTTCTGAAAAAGGGTTCCTGCAGGTAGGAGTTATGCCGCTCTCAAAGAAGGGGGATGACACCTCTTACGCATTGATCAAGGATGTCTTCCTGGACTCCTTTTCAGAGGAGTTCGACGTGAGCAAGAAAAAAATTTAGTGGGGAGTGAGAGAGGTTTCGTCTGCTGTCGAGAAAGTGGTAGATTTAGGGTATTAGAGATGAAGCAGAGGTGAGAATGGAATGAAAGAAATTTGATAGATGGATTTTTTTATTTCCTGTTGGTGAATTTTTTAGTTTATTTCGATATTTGAAAAATTCTTTATATTCTTATCTCCCCTTCTGTTCTCAAGTCTATACCAATATTCAATAATTTAATAATAAGTCATTTTAGGTATAATATTATTTCCCAAGCAACTCCCAACTAAATCGTCTTTAGGAATAATACCAGTTACGAGGTGGTGTAATGCTGGCTCCCAATCAATATTTCCGAACTACTGCGTCTGAAACAATTATTGAATAAGGGAATATATGCAGAATATTATTAAAGATTTTTTTTAGAAATGATTATTAAAAAAATGATGCATAATACAGGCAAAAGTCTGCTTATTACGCTTTTATGTTTGTGTAAAAGAAAATTTTTGATTTCTCAAGACGTCAACCAGGTTTCTATAATTTTTTGTTTCAGACCCAATGGCCGTACTTATGCACAGATTTATTTTCACAAGAATATATTAATTGTTTTCCGATAAAATATTTTAAAATCGCTGTTGTCAAGTTGAATTTTAAAAATAATTTTACTACTGGCACAAAAAAGAATTATAAATTTTTTGAAACAAAAAGCAGATTATTTAAATAAGCAATAGAAAAATTGTATTTTGATGGCGGTACGAAAATTTACCGCAAGTTCAACTTGTCGAAATAATCACAGAGAATCTTGCGACGAACTCGGTAAGCTTGAGGCGGAATTACGAACAGCTTACACTCTAAAAATGTTGAAGAGCCAAATAGCTGAAAGAAATGCAAATCATTTATGTGAAGAAATTCGACGAAAGTTTGAAGAAAAGGTGATGATCCAGAAAATCGATGTTGAAATAAAAAAGGAATCTGAAAATCAAAAAAAGAATTATTTGGAAAAATGCGAAAAATACAAAAATGAACTACAAAATCAAATACAATTCAAGCAAGAAGAGAAGAATAAAATTATGGAGAATGTGCTAAAGGAAAGAAAAGTACTAGAGAAATTGGATACAATTCGAGATGCAGAGGAAGAATTTAAAAAATTAATAAACAAATACGAATTAAGAGAAAGCATTGAGAGAAATTTTTTCATACAAAAGGAGTTTAATGAAATTTTGAAAAAGAAAAAAGAAGATTTAGATAAAGAAGAAAATGAAAAAGTGAAAAAGTATATGGAAGTACTTAACGAAAGGAACCTGCTGGTGAAAAAACAAGAAGAAGAAAAAATAAGAAAGAGAGAGGAGGCGATATGTTTAGTGGCTGGAATGATAATCGCTGCAGAGTCTAGTAAAGAGAAGAGGGAGGCACTTATAGTTGATCTTGTATCCGAAGAAATTCAATGTCAAGAGATGATACGTGAAAAAGAGAAATATTTTAAAAAGATGAAAGAGAAAGATGAACTGATGAATGTTTTGGATAAGCAGGTCTTGTTCAATGAGGAGTGCAAAAGACGCTTTGTAGAAGAGGATAGAGATTTCACAGAAGCTGTTATGAAACGAATCCTTGAAGACGAAAGGTTAGAAAGGTCTACACTAGAAGCAAGAAAACGAAAATCGTTAATATATCGAGAAGAATTACAAAGACTCATAGAGAATAAAAAGTTGTTTAGAGATAAGGAAATTATCCGAATTCAAGAGGAAGTCGAATCTGAACAGCTACAGAAGACATTAATGATGAAAAGTATCAGAGATGAGAGAATTTCTTTATTGGAACATCACATGAAGAGTGTAGCTGAGTTCATTAATAAGAGTGGATTAACTAAAGAAGAGCAGAATATTCTTGCTTCGCATTTAAAGAGTCTAGAAGAATCTTCAGTTTCATAAATTTAACATCCCATATTAAGTGTTCTTATCTTGAATATAAAAATATCTTGTTAAAAACATATCAAGTAAATTAATTAGTATTAGTATTAGTGTAGAATTTTCACCAATGTAAATAAAAACATTATTTTTGCTAATAAATTAAAAAAATATTATTTATTTTTTAACTCTACGTGTCCAGTATTTTTATGCTGGCAAGTTTTACTAATAAGAAAAAAATTCCAAATTCAATTAAGAGAAAAATTATAAATTTTGTAGAGTCTTTAGTCAGAAAATTTTATCACAATCGAAGTAAGAATAACGTTTCAAAAACTGGCTAGTTACTAAATAGAAAAACTAATCATAAGTTACTTACGAATCATATTCTATTAATAAGGGAGAGTCGGTAGTGTGGCGAGACACGTTTTGTTTTTTTGTTATAGCACTCACATTTTCAAGAACATCAAGTCTGTATATATATCCATGGACAGGTGTGACTCTATACTGCAAATTTAACTTATACAGTTACAGAACAGATATTGGAAAAAAAAGTTATTGCCGATTTACGATAATGTCTCGCGACTACCGACATAAAAAATCGTCCGTAGTGGCGAGACACTATCTTAAAATCAGAGTCTTTATCGTTCAAACGTAACAAAAACAAAGGAATCAAAGAGAAAGAGTATAATAATTGATGCCTTTAAATCATAATATTGTTTCATTCAATCATAAAAATACAGGCAAATATTTTTCTGATTGTGAGCCGCTAATCCATGTCACAGTTATTAAAAACAAATAAGCTTTTCTTCCTGTTCATCTTTTTCAATTTAAACTATAGTTATGAAAAATATTGTCGACAAAACGTACAAAAATTATATCAAATTCATTAAGACATGTACAATATTATTAGATATTAAAAAGCCACTGCCGACAACAAGTGTCTCGCCAATGCGGAAACAGCATTTTTCGGTAATGACGATGTACAATCCTATGCATCGAACAATAATTCATAGTGCTCTGGAAATTTTGAAGGAAACTTAAATACTAAAGACTCAAAACATTTAACCCTTCAGAAAATTCCGGAAATTTTTATATATTATCACTTATACCGATGGGAAATAAAACTTCTAAAATATCTTGAAACTGTTATTATCAGTATAGCGATATTTCGTACATCAAAAACGTATGTATCATATTGAAAAGTTAAAGCACAATAAAACTTGACTTTCAGACCAGAAGTGCCAGCACAGTCAGTTCAGCTGTCTGAAATATCCTAATGTCTCGCCACACCGGCTGTCTCGCCACTGCGGACAACGCTTATATTAATCATATTCTATTAACAGAATAAATAATAATAAGTTTTTTCTTTTTCCTAAGTGTATTTCAAATTAAAGAGTTAATTATGAATTAAAAATACTAATTTTCAAAAATTATTTGATTCAAAAATATTTTAGAGCAAATTTCTTGTTTTACAAATTTTTGATTAAATTATTTATAAAAATTTGTATTTTTACATAATTAACACTTTAAAAAAACAATTATAAATTCAAAAAAAGAATCCTGAAAAAATCTGGAATTATTTTGTAAAATAGTTATTTTTAAAATTAAAAACAATTAGATTAAATAAAATAATTTTTGTTGTTATAATAAACAATTTTAAAAATTAAAATTTTTTTTTTAAATATTATTTTATTTTTTTAATTATATTAATTTTTTTTAAATGTAGTGTAATGAAAAATTATTAAATCTTTCACACAATGTTTGAAATCACATTTGAAGATTCCCGCGCTGCGTCGAAAGATGCGCGCACGACAATAATTTAGACAAGTGGCGTATAGGGTGTGTGGTAGTAGTTTCCATTTGCAATCAAGGTGTTACCCTCACACTATATAAGAACAGATTTCTTTGTCGTTGAAATCAGAATTCAATTTTTTCCACACTGCCTTTTTTTGGTGGCAGGAGATATTTAAATTATCTCCATATATGTGAAATGAATTGAATTAAATTTTTGCATCCTTTTCTTGTCGAACTATTGGCTGCCAATAGTAAACCACGTTTTATTAAATTTTGGGATGATATTGCCATTATTAGGTCTCAAATAATGTTGTTTCATTGGCTGCCAAGACATATGACGAATATTTAAATGCTTGGTTAATAATTGGCTACTTAGATTGGACCATTGTTGATAACCAATGATTGGCTTCCAATTATGGCCCAGTCTTTGTAGCCAATTAATAAACAAGCTTTTAAGAATCCGTTTTTTGCCTTGGTAGCTAATGATGGAACAATATTGACTATACCAATGATTGGCAACGGCGTGATCATCCCAAGACTTTACCATTCGCGATCTAATATTGGGTGCCATCATTGCGCCAATATTGGAACGACTGGCTCCCAATGCTGAACCATTATTAAACCAATGGTTTATTTCCCATTGGGAAATGTAATATCCAAATAACGAAACAAGTTCTTTAATTTTACAAAATTTTGCATATACAAAAGTAATCAATTACAAAATATTTTAAATTTGATGAAATCCTGACTGAACTCATCTGTGTATGGTAGTGAATACATATACAAATGAGATTAAGAACTGATTAAAGAATACTGAGAATGCGGTCGGCTCATTATCTACGAGACATAAAAAAACAATAAGATAATTAACCAGGTGTCGCTCATTCACTATGTCTGCACGGTTGGTGTTGGTATGATAGAATCGCATATAACTCAAGTCTATATATCATTCAGTTATAGAAAGCGACTTTCTTATTTTAGATTTATTTTTTTAAATGATTGTATTAAAAGAAAAATACCGATTGCATCCTCTAATGTTTAACATATTCTATTTTATAAAATATCATGTTTTTACAATCATCTTTCTTTAAACACTTAAAGTTTCTTTTTTCGTTATACCTACGAAATATTTTTTCATCTTGTTATCTGTCATATACTCATAAATTAATATTTGATTTCCTTCTTTTTTGACTTGATTCAACAAAATAAAAAAAAATAGAAAAGTATCAAATTGAGTCAAAACTGAAAAATAAGATTCAATTTTGAAAAAAAGATTTAAAATTTTCCAAATCCTTCACGGAAAGAAAATCCTTTGCAATAAATGTTAAAAATGATACAAAAATTTAGTATAAAATATTTGTATATAATCCCACTATGTGTAGAGTTCAAAGGTATAGAAATTATCATCAATATTTTTTTAAATTTATCAAAACACAATTCAACGGTATAGAATTTAACAGTTTAATTTTTTTAATTTGCTCGTGTAGAGTTTAACTGTATGGAGTTTTATGTTAAATTTTTTTAAAATTTTTCTTGTGTACTCTCTAAATCTGAATTAGTAGTTTTCTACTAATGAAAGAGTGCGGATTCGTTTATCAATTGAATTAGTAACAGTTTTGACTCTTTTTTGGTAGAAAACTACTAATTGCATTTTCTGCACCAGAACTGGTACAAGTTTAGCTGCTGAATATGCGTACATTTTCTTGTACAAGATCTTGTACAGGGATTTTCAATAGGGTATAGAATTAAAAGTGTACAATATAATTTTATAGGATTCAACTGTATACAGTTCAACTGTATAAAGTTTTAAAGCATTATTTTAGTAAAATAGATTGTATACAGTCCCACTCTGTAGGATTAGTCGTATACAGTTCCCCTGTACATATACAATCCAAATGTGCAGAATTTTATGATTTATATCATTCAAATGCTGTTTTAAGGGCTATAAAAACCCTAATACAATTCAAAGGATTTGTCTAGTGCTCCAATAAATTTCTGACCGAATAATATCGTCGAATGGCCCTTCAGTTATTATAGGTATACACTGTTAGAAAAATCTCTATTATAGATTTAATATACATGTGTATGAAGCAAATAAGCACTACAGGTATTGAAATCTAAGATACATGTATATTAATTTAAATGTGCCAACATGGCGGCCGCAGAGTCCTATTTCACCAAACGGTGTTTATTTCCTTGATATTGAAACTTTTTATTTCAAATTGAAATAACAGTGCATAATATACTTCAGGGGTTGGTCTGACTCACTGACCTTTTTTCGCTTATAAGTTAAATTAGAGAAAGTCATCAGTTGATTTCTTTTTATTATTAAGTCAGATGATTTTTCAATAATCATCGGAATCTCTAAATAAATAAGTTCAGAATTAAGTACGCTAACTTTATTTGTTGGTAAAATATTTCATTTTTTATTAACTTTTATTAATTAATATATCTCGAAAACAAACAAAAAGGACGCAGTTATATTTTTTTGTACTAATGCAGTCCTGATTAAAAGTAAACACATTTTAAACTTTTGATAAAAAAATTAAATAATGCCGATTTTGAGAAAAAGGGAAAAATATTTTTGATTTGAAAAAAGAGTATAATATTATTATATAATAGCTACGACTATTCAAAAATCTCTCTTCGCATTAATAAAAACTTCAACTCCCTCTTGTCACTACAGTTTTTGCACGGAGAAAAATGGAAAAACGAATAAAGTAACTTTAACTACTTTAAAAGTAAAACCGGAACTGTCCGAAGTTTCTGTGCATTTGTGGCAATTTTTATTCCAGAAATAGTAAAATTTATTATTTCCTGAATAATTTTTACTATTTCAGGAGTAAATTTACTCTTGAAATAGGTAGTAAAAATTATTGAGGAAATAGTAAATTTTACTATTTCTCGAGTAAAAATTGTCAGAAATGCGCAGAAACTTCGGACAGTTCCGGTTTTACTTTTAAAGTAGTAAAAGTTACTTTATTTGTTTTTCCATCTTTCTCCGTGTGATAAAACCTAACAATACTTCGTAATCGAAGTACTCACTCATATGGCTAAATTATGTGCAAGTTTTATCCCAAACTGAGAAATTTTTTTTTCAGTAGCCGAAACCTAAATTACCGTAAACTGTAAAAGAAAAATAAATGTGGATAAAATAATTTACTTATAAAGACAATTTTTCAAACGTGAAAGAAATAAACAAAAATTGCATTAAAAAATGTAATTAGCTG